TTGGAAATAACGTCAGCCAGATATTGGATACATTTTGGCAAGTTTTTAAAAGTAAGTATTCTGCAAAATAGCATGTATTCTGTGATTACAACTATACAAAAATAGGCATATATATATCCAGCATCCAGAAGGGAATGTGCATGGAAAGGAGTTACTTTACAGAGGTGAGATGATGACTTTATTTTTTAGAAAATATTTCAATATTGCATTGCCTTCAGTTTAAAGAGAGAAGAACAAATAATTATTCTGCTATAGCCAAAACATTATATTAAAAAAATATCAATGGGAAAAGCATCTCAGTGAGGCTGAGAAAGGGAATCTTTAAAAATAACTCAGGAACAGTCACAATTGATGGAAATTCTGACCTTTGGGCAGAGAAGTTGAAAGGGATTTTAAAGCAGAAACACATTTTTAGGGATATGCAGGAAGATTTTTAAAAGTCAAAAGATCCTGGTCTAATTAGGGAACTGCTATTGGTATTTCTCAACCATCAGAGCAAAACCAAGAACATTCTAAATGTCAGAAAGAAAAATTCCCCCCAAATGCACAAATGCCACAAACCAAACCATCTTTGGATTTGTTCCTTATACTCTTATATTAGCTCACACATACACACAAAACTTAACATAGCTTTAGATACATTTATACAGTTTTCCTCCCACAAAAGCTATAAGTATTTTTACTTACATTGTACAATACTGTATTGTTTCACGTATTTAGAGAAGGATTTACTGACTACATTTAAAAACATGGTTATTCCGGTACACTTGTTGACTTGGACTATCTGACCTCTTTATTTATTTATTTATTTTTTGACCTTCTCTTTTAAAAAACAGAAAACCGTTGAGATTGTCGCAGAAGGGGGAAATATGTCAGTCTTGTCGTGTCTGACTTGAACAGACAGGAGGAAAGGCGCAGATGCCAGGTCACCTGGACCCCCACCACTCGGGAACCCTGTGGCAGGGATTCTGCGGCAAAGGGCACTTGACCTCAAGGTTCTTCCTAAAGCTTCTGGGCCTTCGACTTGTGAGCCTGACATTCCAGAAAGCTTAGCTGCAAACGGGGCTCTGGCACAGAGACTGCGCATAGTCTTCCGGGGTCTTGTCCTGGTGAAAAGAGGGTCCATGTGGCAACACAGGCGGTGCTGTGGGTTTCCGAGTGCAGGGGCTGCCTTTAGGAGCCTGCCTGGGCTGTGCAACCTGAGCCCGAGCGTCATCCTTTAAACCACGTTGCTTTTTTGAAGTGTAAGCTCATGCCCGTTTCCTGTTCTCCCTGACTCAACCTGCCGAGCCAGATCGCACCAGCTCCTCTGGTCTTGGAAGAGCGAACCCCCTCCCCGCCCCGCCCTCGCCCTCGCCGTGCTGGGCCGAGTGGAACCGCTGAACAAATACCCGCCAGAGTGCCGCAGGCCCCGGCCAGCTGCAGTTGGAGACATATCGCCATCTAGTGGAGAAACAAAAAAAATCCGCCCCCCCCCCCCGCCCCCCGCTTAAAAAAAAAAATTACCAGGGCATCCTTGAAGTAGACCAAAGAATTCAATCGCCCTCATTTGCTACCAAAGGAGCTTGAGAATCAGAGAAGGAAATGGACGTCCCGAATGTCACACAGCCGGCTTGTGGCAGCATCAACACTACAGAATCTCATCACCGGGGCCTTGGTTCAGCATTCTTTGCATTATCCTGCAGTAAAGAAACCGGAAGATAAAAGAGCTTCTAGTGTCCGTTGAGCATTTCAGATCTCTTCCAGGGTGCCGGTGAGCACACGTAGGGGCCAATGTCTGATGAGCAGGCTTGGTTGTTTACTGTCCTATAGAATGCCTTGGCTGGGCTCCCAGAGCAAGTTGTCTCCCCCACCCCCCTCCACCACCCACCAACCTGCCAAGAATTCAGCACAAGATCAGACCATGTCCATGGCACTAGGTTATGGAGCAGAAGATGCCACAGGTCACCTGTGCCCAGAGGGAAGAGACTAGAAAGAGCCTGTGGGTTGCCAGGCCTCCCCCAGCAGCTCAACGGTAAAGAATCCGCCTGCAATGCAGGAGCCACAGGAGATGCGAGTTCGATCCTGGGTCAGGAAGTGCCCCTGGAGGAGGGCATGGCAACCCACTCCAGTGTTCTTGCCTGCACAATCCCATGGACAGAGGAGCCTGGCGGGCTACAGTCCTTGGGGTTGCAAAGAGCTGGACATGACTGAGTGACTTAGCAAGCACGCATGTGGGCTGCCAGTCGCCTTTCCACTGCATTTTTAGAGCTAAGCAAAAATGTGCACCTTCTTTCCAGGTCCCCCAGATCCCAGAAGAGAAGTGGGAGTGGAGTGCAGCACCCCTGTTTCTTGCACTCAGAGACTGCTGTGAGGAGCTGCACGGTGCGTAGGCTTCTCAGCTGGCCTACCGCGAAAAGGCAACCGGATTGGGTAGACTGTGGAGGGGGAAATGCATGTTGCATTATTCAGTGTCAGCTTGCGGGGTGGAAGGAAAGGTGAAAGCCACTGCCTAGCTTCATTCCCTCGAAATAAAATCCTAAATGCTGACTTGAAACATATGGCTGTGCTTTGAGGTAAATCTCAAGTCTAGTTCCTCGTGGATACCCTAAAACAGCTAAAGAATTTCTTGGTTGCATTCTCTTCCTCAGAGCCTGGGCCTCCCCTTGACTCCCGGGTCATTGCTTCAGCAGGAAGGACGAGCCCACCTTGTCTTAAGCTCTAGATTGCTGGCAGAGCCTTCAGCCGTCAGTGTGACTGTGAAAACCATGCTGTTGACCTTTGTGCTCGCTCTTTTCATTTAATTTCTCTAAAGCTGATTAGGGTAAGAGGAACTTTTTTCATTTGTTTTTCTAACCCAGGGAATCTGACTCAGGGACTTTTGTGGACCGGAATGTCCTGAACTGGCCAAGACTTGATAAAACCTTTGGTGCCCAGGGCCCTGGGTGAGTCACTGTGGGGCCTCACACGGCCTGGCCTACCCCAGGCAAGAACGCCTAAGTTCCCTGGATGAAGGAGCAGCCTCTGAGGCCAAGTGCCGAAACTTGTCCTGCAGCCCTCCAGAAAGTCCAGCCCCCAGCGAGGCCCCGCCTTTACCTGCTTCTATCTCCGCCCTAGCCTCACTGTCCTGCTAAGTCACCGTCCGAAGTGTGTGGTCACACCTGGGCTGTGTGGCAGCGTCCCGGAGTCTGCTGAGATGTAGAAGTCTTGCTTTTTAGGCCAGCGCATCCCTGGGAAGGCTTCCCTCGTGGGCTCAGCTGGTAAAGATTCCACCTGGAATGTGGGACACCTGGGTTTGATCCCTGGGTCGGGAAGATCCCCTGGAGAAGGGAAAGGCTACCCACTCCAGTATTCTGGCCTGGAGAATTCCATGGACTGTATAGTCCATAGAGTCTCAAAGAATCGGACATGACTGAGCGACTTTCACTCTCACTTTCATCCCTGGGAAAGGGGCTACAAAGAGTACTTTATGATGAAGCTATTTCCCACAGGGACACTGTTATAATCGGATGCGTTTCTAAGCAGGGACCTGGCACAGCATGAATCACCGAGATACCCAGCAGCATGGCATAAAAGCCAGTGTGTCCCGAAGCCTCTGTAATCATCTATCAGAGGACAATCTCTGACAAGTCCTCCGCTCTGGATGCTGGCAGGGCCCCCAGCTCATTACTCGGTGTTCCTGAACTGAGCTGTCCCTCCCCAGTACACAGGCCGGGGCCCCTTATCTCCTTCCGGGCTTTGATCTCCATCCTTTAGTCGCTTCACACTGCCCGGCTCTCCTTTTCTCACCAAATGTCCTTAACCGAAAAACCTCCGAGCTCAGTTCACAGTCTCCTCTGCCCTCTTTCCCCGCCAGCCCCCACAGTGACACCATCGTCGTTGTGACAAGCTGTCCCCTAGACCACTTAACAGCCCCCCTCCCCATATTATTGATCCTGGACCGTGATTAGCATGTAAAGAAACCCCCTATATAATGCACGTCCAGGTCTAAAAGAGCCTGAATATACCTCCTCAATCCAGTCAGCTTTAAAAGAAAAGTATAGCTAAATAGGGCATTCATTTACTCTGAAAATATTTATTGATTTCTTTCTATGAGCCAGACACTTTCCAAGGCACTCAGATATAGCTGTGAATAAAGCAGATACAAACCCACAGACAGCTCGAGAAGGGAAGTCATAAAGGCATCTGTCTAATGACTTGAAAGACCATTCATTGGCTTCGGAGCCGGGAAGTCTGAGGAGCCAGTCCAGATGCTTCCACCAACCTGCTAAGTCACTTCTCCGCCTCTGATCCAGGCTCCTCACCGGAGTCCTCCCCAGTGACCCTCGAAAGGTGCTTTGATCTGTGACCCTCCTTCCACTGTGTGTCTTTAGCTTCCCAACCAAGAGAGCGACCTCCCCTGACTCTCCTTAAGCGGGGCGTCGTTCCTGCCAGCTCCCCATTCTGCCCTCTGCCTTCTCCTGCTTCGACTCTGTTTTGGTCTTCAGAAAGGAAGAAAGGAGAGCGGCCCTCCATCGGGTTAGCCAGCCTGCCTTCCCATCTCCTCCCCGCTGCAGCCTCCCTGCTCGGTTGCCCTGGGGTCATACATAGTTCTGAGCAACAGTCAAGTGACCCCCTATTCAAAGAGGGCTGTTGCGGGAGGGTGCCTCTTTGGGGCCATGGCAGTGCCTTTGGGGGGCATCTGCTCCCCCCGGACTCCCTCAGGGCGGCCAGTGGACAGACCCCAGAGCGGGATTCTGTACAGTTGGTGCAAGAGAACCACGGCAAACCAGTTAACAGGCTGGGAACCAGAGAAGGGCCGGTGGCCCAAGAAGAGGCTCCCCGTGTAAACAATGACTAGTGTGGGCGGGGCGGCGATGTAGGTCAGCTCCCAGCCGGGAATTCATCTTCCAAGAGCAAAATGCCAGTCCCTTCTGGAAGCAGAATCTAGGTAAACGGTTGCTTTCTATCTTTGGGCAGATGACCACCTGGTTGCCCTGCAGCTGCCCTCGGTTTTGGAGACAGCTGGCCTCGACGCCTACCTCTCTGCCAACAGAAAGTGGCTCAGGAGCCTTCTGACCTTGACCTTCTGGTGGACGGTCATGAAATACGGGGGCTCCATTCTGCTCTATGCACCGGGTCCAGACGGGGCTGCCTGGATCATTCTCCTACCTTCTGAGGACACGGGATGTTTTCTGGCATAGGTGCGGGAGATTCTTTCTCATTTGTTTCTGAGTGTTCACCTTGTAAAGATTTGCCAGTTTCAGATGAATATTTGGGGAACTTGGAAATTAAGATCAACATCCCAGCTCTCAGGACTCTCCTGGCAGGGATTTGGTCAAGCAGGACAGGAGATTCTGGGGTTCAGATTCACTCGGGGGTGAAATTGAGTCCCGTGAGCCCTTTGGTTCAGGTGACCTTTACCACTGTGACCTTTAACCTCCTCACATGTCTTGGGCCAGGCTTTTACAGGACACAACAGGCTACCATACTTATTCTCTCCCTTTGGTTCCAGAGAACAGTTCTGGAAAGTAGGCCAGGCAGGTGGTAACATCTTTACTTTGTAGAGAAGGAAATGGCTCAAAAAGGCTCCAGGCAAATGGCATTATTTTGTTCTTTTTATGGCTGAGTAATACTCCATTGTATATTTGTACTGTATCTTTATCCATTCCTCTGTTGATGGACGTTTAGGTTGCTTCCGTGTCCTGGCTATTGTAAATAGTGCTGCCGTGAACATTGGGGTGAATATATGCTTTCAAATTATGACATTCTTTGGATATATGCCCAAGAGTGGGATTTCTGGGTCATATGGTAGTTCTACTATTAGTTTTTAAGGAACCTCCATACTGTTCTCCATCAGTTCAGTTCAGTCCCTCAGCCGTGTCCAACTCTTTGTGACCCCGTGGACTGCAGCACGCCAGGCCTGCCTGTCCATCACCAACTCCCAGAGTTTACTCAAACTCATGTCCATTAAGTTAGTGATGCCATGCAACCATGTCATCCTCTGTCGTCCCCTTCTCCTTTCACCTTCACTCTTTCCCAGCATCAGGGTCTTTTTCAATGAGTCAGCTCTTCGCATGAGGTGGCCAAAGTATTGGAGTTTCAGCTTCAGCATCAATCCTTCCAATGAATATTCAGGACTGATTTCCTTTAGGATGGACTGCTTGGATCTCCTTGCAGTCCAAGGGACTCTGAAGAGTCTTCTCCAACACCACAGTTCAAAAGCATCAATTCTTTGGGCACTCAGCTTTCTTTACTGTCCAACTCTCACATCCATAGATGACTACTGGAAAAACCATAGCTTTGACTAGATAGGCCTTTGTTGGTGAAGTAAGATTTCTGCTTTTTAATAAGCTGTCTAGGTTGGTTATAACTTTGTTCCAAAGAGCAAGTGTCTTTTAATTTCATGGCTGCAGTTACCATCTGCAGTGATTTAGGAGCCCCCCAAAAATCTGTATGCAGGTGAAGAAGCAACAGCTAAAGCTGTCCCCATGTGGCTGGACTAACTTCCACTCCCACCAGCAGTGTGGGAGGGCTCTCTTCCCCCGACCCTCTCCAGCATTGTTTGCAGGTTTTTGACGATGGCATTTGCAGCAACATGGATGAGCCTGAGATCGTCACTCTGAGTGAAGTGAGCCAGACTCAGAAACACAAATATCATGGATCACTCACGTGTCTGCTCAGTCACTCAGTTGTATCAGACTCTTTGTGATCCCATGGGCTGTAGCCTGCCAGGCTCTCTGTCCATGGGGATTCTCCAGGCAAGGATAGTGGAGTGGGTTGCCATGCCCCCCTCCAGGGGATCTTCCCAACCCAGGGATCGAACCCAGGTCTCCTCCAGCATTGCAGGTGACTTCTTCACCATCTGAGCCACCGGGGAAGCCCAAGAATACTCGAGTGGGCAGCCTCTCCCTTCTCCAGGGGAACTTCCCGACCCAGGAGTCAAACCAGGGTCTCCTGCTTTGCAGGCAGATTCTGTACCAACTGAGCTACCCGGGAAGCCCTATATCACTTACATGTGGAATCTAAAACAAGAGGATACAAAGGAACTTATTCACGAAATAGAAGCAGAGACACAGCTGCAGAAAACAATCGTATGGTTACCAGGGAACAGGGAGAGGGCGGGATAAATTGACAGCCTGGACTGACATATGCACGCTGCTGTACATAAAATCGGTAACTAAGAGGAACCTGCGGCGTGGCACAGGGCACTCTACTCAGTACTCTCTAACGGCCTCCGTGGGAAAAGGGAACATATGTACATGCATAACTGATTCAGTTGGCTGCACACTTGAAACTAACACAACATTGTGAATCAACGATTTGTTGTCGATGTTGTTCTGTCACTCAGTCAGGAACTGTAGCCCACCAGGCTCCTCTGTCCATGGCAAGAGTATTGGAGTGGGTGGCTGTTTCTCCAGGAGATCTTCCTGGATCAGGGATCGAACTTGTGTCTCCTGCATTGGCGGGCAGATTCTTTACCACTGAGCCACCAGGGAAGCCCCCCTTTAAAAAAAAGAAGAAAGGCTCTGGGCCGCTATGTGGCAGTCAAGCCTGGAGGTATGGGGTCTCCTGCTGAGGCTGGAGTCTTTGCATCACCCCGTAGCGTGGGGTGTCTCCTGAGAGCCCAGGTCAGTCAGACAGAGGGACTCACAAAAGCGTGTCTGCGGTCTCTTCTGACCTTATTCGAGGCGATTCTTTAAGCTTACTAGTAACTCAGGGAGGCTGTCCTGGCACATTCCTCTATAGGCCAGGGCTGCAGAACCCTGACGGGCATTTTTCCAGGAGTTCCCGACTCTGCTTCAATAAGACCAGAGCGAAACCGGATGCCCTAAGCATCCAAGGTTTCCCAGGGAAGCGATAGTTGCTTTGCTAGGAGCTTCGGAGGCTCTGCTCCCTGGTCCCCACTCTGCTGCAGTGATAGCCTCAGGCTGTCTCCCTCTCTGCCCCGCTCTGGCTTCTGACTTATGAGGAAGTGTGGACCAAACCCCAAGACCTTCCCCTTGGGGGAGACCCCCTTCTCAGGCATGGCTCCGGGCAGCTCTCTGGCAAATGGCCCTAGTGAGGGTCGGACCTTCTGCTGGCCTTCTCACAGATGAACAAAGAACTGACACCCTCAACTTAGCAACACAAACATCCACCCCTGAAAAGCACCTGTCAACAGCTAATCCTGCAGCCTTCCTTCAAATGGCGCGTGAGGAAATCTGCCAATACAGTTGTCTGGAATCCTGATCCTGGTTCACTTTGCCAGCTGAGCTGTCTTCCTGAGAGATTCACACTGGAATCCTGCTTGGACTCATCTCTGAGCAGCTGGACCAGCTGTAGCTCACACCAGCGTCCCCCAACACTGCTCCATGCAGCAAACTCGCCGATGAGACCGGGCGCCTCCCAGCCCCTCTCTAGAGCCTTGTTACCGAGGGGTGAGATTGTTAGGGGCGAAGAAATTCATTGTGTGCCTGTAGGAATCTAAAGTCTTTTTAAAACAAGGAATTGAGAAGTGTAACTAATGAGCACACTGGAAAAGCCACAGACCACCTCATTAAAGCTCAGAGCTGTGGCCCAGGTCGGGCAGAAATGAAAAATTCTCAGGGAAAGGCTACCCCATCCATTAATGAAGGACTTAAAAGGAAAAGTGTGACAGGTTTTCAGCAGACATTTTGATAGACAGAAAGCGTTTACCAGAGGCCTTAAAAATAGCCCCGATTTCTGGTGGGATGTGGGGAAGATGAGAGAGGCGAGGAGGAAGGAAGAGGTTTCTGATGATGTGCCCTGGGCATCAAAGAGCCGCTAGTTTGGGATTTCTGGGTTTGGATGATTCCAAACTGTTTCCCTCTTTTCGGCAAGGACCCTCCTATCATGCTGGCGTTCGCCGAATCTTCTGGAGCCCCCCCTCTGGGGTTGCCGTGAGGTTGAAAGAGAGACTCTGCACAAAGCTTGCACGTGAGAGTGTGGCACGCTGCCAGTGACTAGGGTGTTTGTTGCCTGGGAGATTCATGACATCCTCATTTAGGGAGGTGATGTGTCCCTTTCTGTGAATTAGGGAAGGAGCGGAGGGGCCAGGGAGGGCAGCTGCCCATGACTCCCACAGAAGGTCCCAGCCGCCTCGGCCTGGTGTGTCAGGGGCCGGGCTGACTGCAGTGACTGTGCTGGACGAAACCCAGCCTGCAGGGTGGTGGGCTGCCCGCCGGGATCCGTTTCACAGCAGCCCGGCCCTCCTCCGAGCACCCTAGGGGTCCAGGTTGTGCTCGGGCAGCATTGTTGACCCACCAGCATGGTTAATAGAAAAGCGCCCCTGCTATCCTCTGTAAAGGGCCTCGTCAATTGTGGAGTGCCCGGGAGCAAGCTGTACTTTATGTGGCAACAGCTTTAGCTCAGGCCCTCCAAGCAGACCTCCCTGTCTCACCCTCCTCCACCCTCACACAGCCACCAAGAGGCCTGTCTAGAACCGACTTCTGATTTGAGTCATGCTACACTCCTCTTTGATGCAAAAAGCTGACTCATCTGAAAAGACCCTGATGCTGGGAATGATTGAGGGCAGGAGGAGAAGGGGACGACAGAGGATGAGATGGTTGGATGGCATCACTGACGCTATGGACATGAGTTTGAGTAAACTCTGGGAGTTGGTGATGGACAGGGAGGCCTGGTGTGCTGTGATTCATGGGGTCTCAAAGAGTCCGACGCAACTGAACTGAACTGAACTGAACACTCCTCTTTGGGGCTTCCTTGGCGGCTCAGCAGTAAAGAATCCGCCTGCGATGCAGGAGATGCGGTTTCAGTCTCTGAGTCAGGGAGATCTCCTGGAGCAGGGCACAGCAACCTCCTCTAGAATTCTTGCTTGCAGAATCCCACGGACAGAGGAGCCTGGCAGGCTACAGTCCATGGGGTCACCCAGAGTCAGACACGACTGAAGCGACTAAGCATGCACACATGCACGCTCCTCTTTGAAAATCTCTGCAGGCTCCCCTTTGACCTCCAAGGGTCAAGTGCACAGTCCTTAGCATGGCTGTCAGGGCCCCTTGACAATCACCCCACCTAACACTGCCCCTCCCCCCAGGAAGACACATCCCGGGTCCTCTGCACTCATCAGTCATGCAGGACAGGCCCTTCCTGGCTCCAAACTCA